CGAGGGCTTGCCTGGCGTGCTGCGGCGCTCCCCTGGGTTCCGGGTCCCCGGCGCTCACCGGAGCACCGCGGGTCCCCGCCCCCCCGCTGGGGATAACAAGTTAATAACAATCATCCCGCACAAAGCGTTTTCTTTCCAGACGTCAATCACCGCGGAGCGGGGAACACCGGGCTCACGGGGGTGCGGGGCGGGGGGAGTTGGAGTGGGAGAAAAGAAAAGAGGTTTGAGGAGGGGGGGGGGGAAGAAACTTGATTTCTTTAATAACCTCAATTAAAAGAGCAAGACACATATATATTTTTTAAAAGGGGCTTTTTGAATAGGATAGCCCGAAAGGTGAAGAGGTTTAATAGGATACTTGAAAGCTAATTACAGCGGGATTTAAGAAGCCTGGTGTTTGTTCCGATGACAATTTGAATGAAAATGCTTCAGATTAAACCGAGCCAGCAGCTCTTTCGTAAACTTACAGCAATTAGAGCGGCGAGTGATTTACACTCGTTTCTTTAAGGTGTAAATTGCCACTTATTCTCAGTAAGTCAACATTTTTGCTACTAAAGGATTATTTTTAACCAGCGCAAAAAGCGGGTCGAATAATGGAAATATCCAGCTGAATTTAATTTGTGCCATTAAAAAAAAAACTCAACCTCGGTCAAAATGTTTTAAAGCTACCACGCGCGTAAAGTGTTTCCAAGCCTTTGCTGGAGTTTTGTTCTTAAACGAAAATGCACCCTTTCTGGGCTTTTTCTGCTTTCGTTTACAAAACCTCTAACTTGGGGGCATGTAGGCCCCGCGACGCCAAACGGTTCCCACCTCTGCGTCTCTGCCTCTTTCCTTCCCTTTCACCCTCGCTCTGGAAGCGCCCAGAGAGGTAACCACGCGAACCTGGGCTCTCGGGGCAGCTCAGGTGCGCCTGCTGCGCGGCCCGAGCACAGCTGCACGCGAGCTGCCCGCTCCGTTACACAAAAGGCCGAAGCGGAGCCGCTCCAGGTTGGGCGGGTGTTCTCAGCCAGAGTCCCCGCAAAGACTACGTAACAGTGCCCGGTGCTGGTCCCGCCCGGGTCCTCAAACACGCAGTAGATGGATTTTAAACTTAAAGCGCAAGACACCGACGGGTCCCGCCTCCAGAGTGAAGCGAGTGCTCGTCCGACTCCCCCATGAACGACTCCCTCATCAACTCAGACGAACCGAGAGACTTGGTTCGTGCCTTGGGGTGTGCACCTTTTGGTATTTTAGGTAAAACCTCTTTCCTGGCCGGCCCTGAAATTTCTGAGACCTTCCTAGAACCACGTTCCCCTCTATTTCGCCGTGGGCCGAAGGCGCCCTAGGGTCCTTGAGGATTGTCCGCCAGCCGCGCAGCACAAAAAGTCATGCCTCTGTCTCCCCTTCACCCCCTCCCAGCCACCCGGTCCTCCCGAACCGTTCTCCCGGACCGCCACAATCACCACGGCAAATAGAACAAAAGCACGACTCACATGAACCCGGGAGCGCCTTAGGCTCGAGGCTTCGTCTCCCAAATTACAGTCTCCATGCCTCAGGTTAAGTGAGCTTGTGGGGAGGGGTGGGGGGAATGATTACTGACTAACGCTACTACGTAATAAAAAAAATTGTCAGGTCTTAGGATGAGGCCGTTACAGGTAGTTTCAGAACCTCGTTCAGAAGTCCAAACAACTGCGTTTCAAGAAAACTGCAACTCAGCGGCTCTGGCCAGGCGTCGGCTCGCTCACCTTCTCGGGGGGAACTGCCAGCTCCGGCACGTCCTTTTCTTCTAGTTTACACACAAACATCTGATCGCTCTTCCAATACATGGCACTGCTAGGGCTGCTTGTCACATACCAACTCCGGAGGGTCAGAGGCTGCGGTATCTGCCGATCCTACCCCTCCCCCGCCCCAATGCGCTGATAAAAGCCGACCACCGAGAAGGGTTAGAACGCTACAAGTGAGTGAGTCTTCGTCCAAAGGGGCCGCTGTGGCCGTGACCACTCTCTGATGGACTGTTCTCAAGATTCCTTTCTCCACTTCACTGAGGTCTGTCCCTCCAGGAAGAGGGAAAAAAAAAAAAAGTTTTGTTTTCCAGAGGGTGGAACCTTACATAAAGGGAGGGGAGTGGGGGAAAAAACTTTTCCTGGAGGAATAGCCTCACCTCCTTAAGGAAAACCCTCCTTCTCTACAAGTTAAGATCTTTATCAGGACAAGCCAACTTATTCCAGGTTTAGTATTAAAGAAAAAAAAATTGGGGATGGCCTGTTAACTTGACTTAAAAAAAAATCTGCTCTCTGCATTTGCCGTGGCTTTTAAATTCTCGCTTCCCAACCAAAACCTAAACAAAGATTCAGGTTACATCTTTTTCTGCAGCAAGCAGTTGAGGAAGCCGAGGTCTGGGTGACTTGAACGTTTTAGTCATTCTCTTGAAACGCGGAGCTCTCCTGTCTAGCGGAGGAACGCGATCGCTCCCAGGCAGCCTGGGGCTGACTTATCTAGCGGTTTGTGTTCCCTTTGCGAAAAGTTTTCTCATTAAGATAAAGAAGGAACATCTGAGCAGCACAAAGGCTTATGATTTGCGACTAGATTTGAAATCAAGCCTACAAGAAAGACAAAAGTATGTTGCTAATGAGTATTGCTCTTTCATCTCCTTCTAGACAAAATTTAAGCCTTAGCAGCAGCCAGCTGCTGCCTCAAGTTCTGGCTGCGACTGGGGATGGGTGGGGGAGTGGAGGACCTCCGCATATCACAATTTTGATTAGTATCAAAGTGTGTGTGTGTTTAAATGTCTTCTTTAGGTATGCTTTTTGCTTCATTATTTAGCATATGAAGAATTTGGGAAGAGATCATTTTAAATGATTTTTATTTCCAATTTATTTCTTTTTAAGAAATAAAACTTCTGAAGTATAAGTAACATAAGAGACCTAGGAGGGTTTTAAAGGCCTTTAACAAAAATTATGTGCTATTGCTTCATTTAGACAGACATATGTATACACACACTTACAATCTTCTCCTTGGGCCTTTTGAAGTGTGTCTGTAGAAGAGAAAGATCTAATGATCTTGCCCAGGTTGGTTGGCTGTAGCCTAGCGAGGGGATAGGTGACTTCTCTGTGATGAAGCCAGCAAGTTTAAGTCTGCAGAGAGTAACTTCTGTACGTTTAGTTTTTCCTGGGTAGTTTTTTTTTTCTTCCATTTACACGAGGGTGTTCAGAACATTTCCCTATCGCCCTTGTTTTCCTTTTCGGGTAACTGTGCTCACGTTAATATTAGCCATCCTCTTGCCAGTCCTTTCCGGGAGATCTCCCTTCAATTTATGGAGTGAAAGCTTTGATTAACCTGGGTCCTCTTCGAGAATTGAAGGCTTGGGACCAGAAAAAACTTGCATTTTTCATCAAGTGCAAAAATCAGAATTGGGGGGAGGGGAGAATATACATAATGCATTTTCCATGAAATAGCATCGGGATGGCTCTTCCAAATGGAAAACGGAGTCCTACGGAACGTTGGCGCCATGAGGCCGCCTACAGAGCAGGATTCCATGGAAAGTAGAATGAAAAATAAAAGTTCCGTTTAGAGATTTAATTGCAGTTTCTTTGTGTTAAAGTTTGCAAAGTGAATCTGGGTAGCGTATTGTTTAGCTACTACCGAGAGGAATTAATACAGCCGGTCATTCCCGAGATCCCGAGAGCGCTATAACTGTTTTGGGGAAGTAGGGCGGGGGCGCGGGCGTTTATGCGGTCTTTCCACCCACCCTCGCCTAATCAGGCGGCTCTCAATCAGCTTTTCAAAATACTAATCTTGATCTAAGAGCTCCTATCTCTGCATAAGTGGAGGAAATGATTCATTTTTAGAAGCTTCTGGGCTTGGGCAAGGATGGTCGTCAGCCTAGCAGAAGACCTGCGAGTCTGGTCAGGCGTCTGCTTTCCTTAAGGCTCCCCGGCGGGACGCGGACTTGCCCCACTGTGTAACCGACGCGCCCTGCCTTGCCTGCTAGGCCTGAAGACGGTGAGTTAACTTCGGTACCCGGGCGGTCTAAGCCCTGAGCTGGCGGGTCGCACGTGGAGGTGGGAGGCTGTGATATTTCCTAACTTGGTTGCTCCTCTCCCATGCCAGACCCAACGACCTTCTGACCCCTTGTCACCTGAGAGTGTGCAGAGGTGTAGCTCTTTTGTAGTGGCCTGGCTCCTTAGAGCTGGTGTCACACCTCTTACCCACACTCCCCTGCTTGGGGAAAGAAGTTCTCCTGCGGCTTTGGGAGAACTTCTCACTTAAGGTGTTCGGTTTAAAATCAAAAGGGAGTTTTTCTTCCCTTTGTCTTGTAATCAGGGTTTTTAGCTTAACTCTAACGGAGGTCAATTGTGGACAAATGAGGACAGGACTCTCTCCCCCGCTAAAAACCAATTCTTTGTGTCGTAGTTAGGAGAGGAATCGCCTGTAACGGCTGGTTGTCTACATATAAAGCTGAAATTTTTAGACAGCCAGCTCTCTTCAATGATCACAAACTGCCAGCCCTCCAAAGAGGTCTACCAACATCCCAGGACCGGAGGGTTTGCAAGCGGTGCTGGAGAGGGAGTGGTGGTATGGTGAAGAGCCAGAGAATCTTCAGAGTGCATCCTTGTCTGGGCTAGGGGACTCCTAACCAGGTTGGCTGCCCCCGAGTGTGTCTCCCTAAAATCTGAGGAGGGGGGCATGGAAATTATCTGGGTCACGTATAGCCAGGCCTTGATTGCAGGTCTGCGGCTGCAGAGAGGGAACACCAACCCGACCTGACCCCCACAGTTTCCACTCACCGCCAAGAGCTGCCTAATTGGGCTTCGAGCAGCTGTGAAATTTGTAATCGTCTAATAAGCCTTCCACCTCGGTAATTCTTATCAAAAGGCATAAAACTGATATTTTCACACTCGGCTCGCACCGCAGGCTCCATTTATAAACATCCTTCATCAGTGGGATGAAATTAAGCCTGCATTGACAGAGGTTTCTGGAACTCGATATTTAAAAGCAATAGATCCGAATTAGCAAATTATTACTTTAAGAAGGGAAAGTCCCCACCAACTTGACTATTGAACCCTTTGCCTCTGAGCTCCTCACGGTGAGTAACCACATGTTTGAAGGAATTTCACCTGGAGGTGCCGCGGTGTTCAGGCAATCTCAGAAGTTTCGGCTCCCTGAATTGCCACCTGCTCCTGCTCCTAGCCCTCCCGCCTGCCAGCAAAGGTTCTCCTGGGTCAGATCTGTGGGGACCTGGATGAGGCACAAATGGGGCTTGGGAAGAAAACGCAATTAAAAGAAAACAACAAAACGTGGTCAAATCCCAGACTTTCAGGCCACAGGGACAGGATCAGCACCCACAGTAGGGTCTTGGCTCT